AGGAAGGGTGGTGGGATGTTGGGGCTGCTGAAGGATGGGCATGGCACAGCCCTGGGAAGGCAGGATGGTCCACCCAGGAGGCTACTACCAGTCTGCCACCCCAGCTGCTAATCCTGCCTTGCCCTCCTGCCTCCGGGCCCCAAAGCAAAGGCAGAAAGGAGCTTCAGGGCTTCTCTGTTCACCTGGGACCCAGCACCAGGCACCCTTCAGGCTGGGTGGGAGGACATGGCCAGGCCCGAGCTAAATCCCCAGCAAAGAGTCAGCCACAAGAGGGGAATCAGTCTGCAGTCCAGTAGTTAAATGTCCAGTCTTTCTGTATGGGACTGTATGTGCAAGTGTTTCAGACTGCTGGCTGGAGCAAATCTGTCCTCCTCTTTGTGGCTACTCAAGTGCCCTGTGGGGGGGCACAAAGCCAGGTTTTTGGAGCAGAGTTGGCTACATGGAATCCTGGTGACAGGCAATGTGCCTGGGCTGACCAGTGGCACCAGCTGCACGCCTGCCAGGGCACTGGGGAAGGATGCTCTGCCATGCCTGAATTACATGCCAGGACTAAGGGGAACGAGGAGAGACAGAAGAGCCTGTGGCAGGGTGTAGGGGAAGAGGAGAGGCAGCAGCACAGCAGCGCTGGGAGCGCTGCAGGTGCCAGCCAGAGAGCTGGGCAAGTGTGCTGGGTGCTGGTTGTGGGGCAGAGCAAGGGTGCTGGATGCTCAGGGTGGCTCTGGGCATGGGGCAGAGGAGCTGGGACTTGAGCAACGTTGTTGGGCAGTGGGGCTATGTGCAGGATCGTGATGCTGGGCTAGTGCCCTGATGCTGTGTCTGGGGGGGGTGCTGTTGCAAATAACTGAATGGTGGTGCTGGGTGCTTGGCATCAGTGCTGGTCATGAGCTGCTGAAGGGGCCAACCCGGGACCACTGGAAGAGGCTGGGGGGGGGGGGAGGGGGCAGTGCCAGACCTGTTTTGGGCTGCTACCCAGGCATCATGCAGAGCCCTGGGAGGTTTTCTGAGTGCTGGGAAGGTCCTTCAGCACAGGGTGACGTTTGATGGCTTCGTGAGGCCAGGAATGGCCACAGGGCTGGGGGGCACCAGCATGTGACTTTGCCATTCTCCTGGGCAAGGGCTGTGGGACTTGGCTCTGAGCAAAGCTGCAGCTCTGGGGCTGGGACCTTGAATGCTGATTGTGACCCTCAGTGCCTTGCCAGCCCTCCCAGAGCCACCACGATTCCTCGCCCCCTTTGGCCTCTTCCCTTTGGCAAATGGGATGTTTTTCCTGCCATTCTCAATGCAGCGGAAATTGCCCCAAGCTGATTTGTGACAATGGCACCTTCAACTCGTTTGGCCTGTCTGGGAAGCAGGCAGCAGCTCTGCAGAACAGGACAGGGACAAGCCAACCTGGGGCAGCTTGGGGGGGCCTTGGGGACCCTGGGAAGGTGCTGGTGGGTGTGACGGTCCCTGCTTTTCCTCCCCAAGAGCCATCCAGAATAGAGAAAGAGCCTGAGGGACAATCCTGCTATTCCTACCCTGGCTGGACAGACAGACAGATATCCTGCAAAGCTTCTCCCTTCTGCAGAAAAGGGAGCTGGGCAGGGACAAATGGGTCAAGGGACATTTTTACCCACTGCCCTTTCAGGAGTCACAGAAAAGTGGCTCTAACCCTGGGATGCAGCCATAGGCTGTGACCTCTACAACCTTGGAGGAAGGGGCTCCAGCTGTGGTCTTGGGTACCCAGGGGTTTGCCACCAGCCTGGTAAAGTCAAGGCCCCCATGATGTCCCTCCAGCAAGCCCCACTTGTTCTGCCTCCCTCCTCGCCAGGTATCATCACTGGGAGTCACCACCTTCAGCCTCTGTGCCCTGGGCATCGACAGGTTCCACGCGGCCACCAGCCCCCAGGCCAGTGCCCGGCCCATCGAGCAGTGCCAGTCCATCATTGCTAAGCTGGCTGTCATCTGGGTGGGCTCCATGACTCTGTCAGTGCCGGAGATCCTGCTCTGGCAGCTGGCACAGGACACGTCGCCTGTGTCCGGCGTCATGACGGAGTATTGCACCATGAAGCCCTCGTCCAACCTGCCCGAGTCCATCTACTCGCTGGTGCTCACTTACCAAAACGCTCGGATGTGGTGGTACTTTGGTTGCTACTTCTGCTTGCCCATCCTCTTCACCGTGAGCTGCCAGCTGGTGACCCGGAGGATCAGTGGCACGGAGAAGAAGAGCGAGTGCCGAGGAACCAAGCACACCCAGTGTGAGAGTCACTTGAACTGCACCATCATCGGGCTCACCATCATCTACGGGCTCTGTACCACCCCTGAGAATGTCTGCAACATTGTGGTGGCCTACATGTCCCCTGATATGTCCAAGCAGACCTTGGACCTGCTCAACCTCATCAACCAGTTCTTCCTGTTCTTCAAGTGCTCCGTAACGCCCGTCCTGCTCCTGTGCCTCTGCAGACCCTTGGGCCAGGCCTTCATGGACTGCTGCTGCTGCTGCTGTGAGGGCTGCAGCCCCGACACTGCCTCCAGCGAGGGCAGCGCCGACAGCAAGCTCAAAACAGAGATGTCCTCCTCCATCTTCTTCGACAAGCCTCGGGAGTCCCCTCCACCCCTCCTGGCCCTTGGCACACCTTGCTAAGTGCCACTGGGGAGCTGTAGAGATCATTCCACCACCTTCTCCCAAGACCAAACGTTGTTTTGCCATTAGTGCCTGTGTCTGGATGTGGAGCAAGCAGAAGAGACAGCTCAGGGGGCTGTGCCATGGGCTTCAAACCCCATGTTGGGCAAGTGGGGCTTGAAACCCCAGGCCCCATGGCTACATTGGCAGCCTTCTTGCCTCTGCCCAAAGGCCAACAAGGACATCAGCACCCTGCTGTCCTGGCTGCCTGGCCAGGCACAGAGGGGTTGCTGCCCTGGAGATGGAGTTGTGCCAGAAAGGTCCCATCTGAAACTATGGAGGGTTTCCATGGTGGCTTGCAGAGGACATAGCAAACACAAACTGCCCTCGTCCTGTCCCGTCCCCTCCTGCCAGCCCCCTCCACAGTAGGAGGTCCCAGTGACTATATCCCACTGGATCCAAGCCACTGCCTTGTAAGAGCTCAATAAACCAGTAACCTAGAGCATGTTGCACATGCAGCTGTCCAGCACCACCAAGCAGAGCCCTGGGGAGCCAGCACTTGGGGCTTGGATGGCTCTTCCCTAAAACCTGGGGGCTCTTGGGTGGGCATGGGCAGCTGGGGGGGCATGAGGGCACAAAAGCAGCTGTGCCAGGTCAGGCAGCACCTAAGGGAGATGGGGAAAGGCCCCCAGCTCCTCTGCCCCCCTCCCTCTGGGGTAATGCAGAGCGAGCTGGTGCCAAGTCAGCCCCTGGGAGGGTCCCCTCCAAAGCACTGGGCTTGGGGTGGTTTGTAGGACTCAAACTGGCCCCAGTGAAGCCCAGCCAGCTCAGCCCTGGGGCTGAGGTGCTCTGCAGCCTGCAAGGCAGCTGGTTGCCCACCTGTACCATGCAGGACCAAACTGCTGCTGCTGCTGCACGGTGCTGCTGTGCAGTGCTGGGGGGGCCATGTGGGACCACCACCCCAGCACCCCATGGGGAGCTGATGGGGTGAGCGCATCTCATCCAGACAGCCCTGTGCAGGCCTCCTGGCCTTCATCCACCTGCCCATTGCAGGGACAAAATCGTCCCGGCATGATGGTTTCAGGGGATCAGGGTTTCCAAGCCCCATATCCACACCCCAACCAAGGCTCCTGCAACCAGGGGGGCTTCGGGGAGCAGCCGTGGTGGTGGGATCGGGCTGAGGACAGGCTGGCTATGCTGGCCCCGTCCATTGGAGCTGTTAAAGCTCCTTGTCCTGCCGCTGGCACCCGCCCCAGCCCATGAAATGCCGGGGCGAGGGAGACGGTTGCTATGGCCGGGTGAATGCAAGGGGCTCACTGTGGGCTTTGTGCGGCATCAACACCCACCGGGCTTTGCTTTCACAGCCCCGTTTCCAGGGAAACAAAAGCCCCAGTTTTCTTCCAAGAGCACAAAACTGGGTTTTCCCTTTCCTCCCCCCCGCCAGTGCTGGGCCCCACAGTTGGGGAGCAGCTGGGGAAAAAAGGGGTCTCATCCTGGCACAGGGATGGAAGTGGGGGAGCAGAGCCCAGGCTGCCCACCATGCCCTCAGCCCCTTGCATCCCCACAGGGCGAGCGAGGTCCCTGTGGGGGTTTGGCAGCAGTGGGAGGAAGGGAGCGGGGGACAGCTCTCATGCACTTGGTCCGTGCTGCTCTGTCCTGAGCCCCAGCCAAGGGCGAACAAAGCCGGGCTTGTTGCTGTGGCCCCGCGGGGCTGGATGCGTGGGGAGGAGGAGAGCCGGGCGGGGGGCAGGGAGGGCACAGGCAGCACCATTGCAGGCAGCACCATCAGCATGGGCTGTGGGCAACACATGGCCCCATAGCAGCCAGAGCACCCCATGGGCTGGGCTGAACCCCAGCCCTGGTGCCAGCCCCCATGCCCGGGTACCCAGGCAGACTGCCATAAGGCACAAAGCACAGCCCTGGGGAGGGTCAGTGCAGGGGGCCAGCCCCCAGAGGACACTGGGCAGGGGTGCCCCTGCCAGCAATGGCCACAGGCCCCAGGAGGGGGCTGGTGTGGGCAAGGGGGCCAGGAGAGGAGCAGGAGCCCTGCAGCAACCCTGCTCCAAACCCAGCATCGACAGAGCCCTGTGGCAGTCGTGGGGCTCGATGTCCGGCAGCAGCGATGGCCACAGCCAGAGGTCTCTGAGCTCGTCTTCGCACCCAGGCCAAGGAAACGAGGCATTCGGAGCCATCAGAGTTGGCTTTGGCACCCCTTGGGTGAGCATGACCATGCGGGTGTCCGGTGCTGCCTGGGGGACAGGGACCCCCCCGCCTTACGCTCTAAGACATGGGCACAGCACCAAGGAGGGATGGGTGGCAGCGATGGCGAGGAAGTAATGTGACTGCAACCACACCCCCAACGCAAAATTGTTAATTTATTATTATTAGGAGGCAAAAAAATTGTACAGTTACAAGAATCATTTCCCAACAGAGGTCAAATCTGAGCCAAAATATCTCTTAAAAAAAAAGGGGGGGGGGGGGACAACACTTTACAATTCATTAAATTAAAAAAAAAAGAAAAAAAAAGAAAAAGGAAACCTCTCTTTGTGCAATTCTGCAAAAACAAGAACAGAAGAGAAACCCCTGGCCTCACTGCCCTGGAGCTGAGCAGGGGAAGGGGCTGGGAGAGGGCCCCTGCAGCCCCCCGCCCCTGGGCCACCACCACCCTCTCCAACAGCCCTGAGCTGGGGACAGGCAGCTGCCTCCCTGCTGTGCTGCTGACCTGACTCCACTACACACCCACCCTCCTGATGCCAGCACGTCTCCCCCAGCCCAGCTAAGTCCCCGCTAGACTGGCCGCAAGCAACCTGGCCAGGCCCCCAGGCTGTGCCTGCAGAGACCCAGCAACTCATTACATGGCATAAATGGGCACAGCCTTCCTGACTCCCCCAAAATTTCCTCTCACCATCTCCCCACCTGCAGACAAGGACCCAGCCATGCCCCCCCCCGCCCCACTGCACCCGCGTTCCCCCCCCCACCCAGGGCAGCAGAGCTGGGGGATGGCATGGGGAGGAGGGCACGGGGAGCAGGGCACCTGGAGCACTCCCCTGGCTCCAGCAGGCAGTGCTGTGGGCACACAGGGACCCTCACAGTCCCCTGCACGTCTCCAGGTGTCTTCATGTGTCCCCCCCTCCCTGGTGTCTCCATGTGATGTCCTCAGCCAGGGCAGAGCCAGCAGCCCCCAGCCAGGTGCAGGCAATGCCCTTTTGGCACGTGGGGAGCCAGTGCGGCTGCCCCGAGAGGCTACGCGGAGCTGAGCCACCTCTGAGGGCAGCTGGGGCAGGGAGGAGGCAGGAGCCAGCCCCCACACTCCCCGTGGGGTATGCTGGCATCGCTGGCCCCGCCCCTGCACTGGCACCGGCCCCTCGGATCACCCACCACCCCAGCACAGCAGAGCAGCAGGACTGGGCAGCGGGGCAGGATTTGGCCCAGGCATGGGGCCGGGGGGGTGGATGTGGGGCAGGGGGACAAGTGGCCCAGGGCAGTGAGGAGGGGTTGGGGCAGTGGCACAGCAGCCAGAGGCAATGTAGCAGGGATGGATCGTGACTAATCCCTGTCACCTGGAGGGGCAAGGAGCCCAGGGGACGGCATCCCCTCCCCCCCAAACCCTGCCCATGGGGCCAAAGCCTAAGGAAGGGCAAGGTGGGCATGCTCCTGACACCCCCAGGATGCTCTCTGCCTGGGGGTACAAGCAGGACACCTGGGGAAGGGACAAGGGAGCCCCAGGGGACCTGCCTGCAGCCTGGCACAACCCCATCCCCAAGGGGCTGCCTTCTGCTACCACCCTCATCTTCCTCCCAGTGCTGACCCTTGGCCAGCCTTGGGGAGCCCACAGCCTTCCTACCACTCACAGGGCCCAGTTTAGTAACAGAGCCATCGCTTAAATTAAAAAATTAAAATATATATACATATATATATATACTGTATACACAGACAACAACAGAACAGTGCCAAAATGGGAGGAAGAGACAGAGAGAGGAGAGAAGAGGAGAGGAGGGCAGTTGGACATTTTCTTTACAATAAAAACAAGGGCTCCACCTCAATGCGAGCGGAGTCTGGGGTCCCCTAAAAATACCCATCTAGAGAGAGAGCTGGAGGGACAGAGCAGGAGAGAGAAGGGGCATGGGCTTGTACAATGGCATCTTCCTGATCTGAGCTGCAGTCTGCAGGATCTCAGCTTCTCCTAGACTTTGAGTGCTGGATAAGCCACTGTAGGGTGATGTCTGTGAAGGCAAGGGGAGACTTACAGGCTCTCCCTTCAGCTGTCACCCCCTCCTGTTCTTGGGCAAACAGCCTGGGCATGCTGCTCCCGTGGGTGCAGGCTGCCCCACCACTGCTGTGCCCCGAGCCCTGCACCAGAGCTGCCGGTACTCACCGATGTTGTCCTTTTCTTTGCAGGAGATGGAGTAGCAACAAATCTCTCGGTCCTGGATGGCAGAGAGGTTCCTGTGGGAGAGAAGCAAGTTCTGGCTGCAGACCCCCATGGCTGCGCATCAGTGGTGATGGGAGACACCTCCAGGCAGCCTTTTGAAGGGTCTCTTTGGACCTCGGCTCGGAGATGGGATACTTTGCAGGGGCAATGTCTCCCCAGGTTCCTAGGGACCTGCATGTGGGTTGGGAAGGACAGCAGCACACCATGCCCATGACTGATGGCCAGGTGCAGTCTGTGGGGCATACGTGACGGGGTAGGAGGGACCCCACAGAAAGCCTGGCTACAAAATCACACAACTTCCCTCTCTAAACCTTAGTTGCACAGTCCTGTGGCGAGATGGGGCAGGGAGGGTTTGCGAGCAGCACAGGCTGGCAGCACAGGAGCTGCATAGGTGCCCACAGGACAGGGGAGATCTCTGAGGGGTGGACGGGGAGGAGCAGAGATGCTGCGAGTCAGCACAGTGTCCCAGTCCCTCAGCTGCAGGGGAGGGGATCGGCGCCGGCAGTGTGGAGGTGGGCAGGAGGCAACATTGGCTGCAAGGCCACGTTGCTGGCACGGCAAAGGGTGGTAAAATAAGGGAGAGGTACGTGGATGGTGTCATACACCGGAGCAGGATCTGACCTCCAAGCACCAAGGGCTGCCGGGGGCGCAGAGCCTGCATCAGGCAGCAGGGCAGAGCCGTGAGAGGGTGACGGGAGCCGCACCCACGCGGGACCACAGCTCCACCGCTGAGCACGGTGCCAGGCCAGGCCCCAACGCCACCGTGTGGCACACAGGACCAGCCCTGGCACCGGCAGCCGCGGCTCCCAACAACTCCCCATCCCCACAAGCGCTGAGATGTGACCTCCGTCGGCCGCTGCCTCGGAATGTCCCCAGCCACCCACCTCTGCCAGCCCACCCCAGGCACCGCAGTGCCACCCCAGCTGGGGAAGGAGTACCGTCAGAGCATGGCGGGGTGACCATGCTGGTGGGGACACGGCAGGAACAGGGGGGGTCACACTGTTTCATAGCCCCACCGCAGCTGCGTGGGCCACCGGCACACTTACATCTTCTCAATGAGCTCCTTCTCATCCAAGGCACCGGGCAGGTCTCGCTTGTTCCCCAGGACTAGGACCTGCAGGGCAGGAAAGGGGACATTTGAAGCTCATGGCCACCAGACCAGACAGCAATCTGCTTCTGCCACCCAGAAGTGAACCCTGCTTGAGATGCAAGACAGCCTTGGCTACTTTACTGTGGTGTGTCTGGACAGAGAAAACCCCTTCAGCGGGCAATCAGAAGGCAGAGCACTTCAATTAACAGTCTTAATTAGCCCGTACACAGCATCTCCTGTGTACTCTCTAGTCCCAGCGAGAAGCTGGCTCCACAGCACATCCTCCCTGAAGGGCACCAGCACCTCTCATGCCATCTAGGACGCTCTCCCAGGAGCCTCTTGCTGTCTTTGAGAAAAAAATCAAGTGAAATGGCTAAAACCGACATTATCAGGAAGGAGCGAGACGCAGATGCTGTGTAGAACCTACTCTCCGCAGGCAGCCAGCCCAAAAAAGCAATGACTGTTTGCACCATCCACTGATCTCTCCTTACTTCAAGGCTTTTCACATCCACAAAGGCATCCTCAGACTATGCAGGGAAAATAATCACCCAGCAGGACTCATTCATTCGTCTGGAGCACGCCATGCGACTGTCATCTGACAAGAACATCACTGAGGCTGCGGTCGCCTTCCCAGGGTGAGCCGGGGCCTCTGCAGCAGCACAGTAATACAGCATCCCCCAATTTAAATTTGGACACTTGGTCTCAAAAAAGAGCACTCAGAAGGGCTGCAAATGCAGTGTGTTATGTCAGGAGCTTAATTTAGTTGGCAGTGAACATTTGGGATCTGTGGCAAGATCCTCAATTAGCTCCTTTCAAGGGATGCCGATGTTGGATGCTCCATAAGCATCCCGTCCCGGCACACGCAGTGTGCCCCGCTCTGCTGCCACAGCCCACCTCCTGCAAATGTCACAGCCCAGCAGCCACTCTGCTAGGAGATGAGACTTAATGTCCTACCATAAATAAGGTGCAAATTCATGCAAAAAGACAGATCTCACACATTGGCGGGGGTACAGTTCTGGTCTCTTCTAAAGCTCGCTTCCCTGTCGCTTGGCCCCCCCCGGGCTAGAAAGTGTCATTGCCCCAGGGCCCACAGGAGTGCAGCAGGGAAGCGGACCCCACCAAGGAGAGGGATCCCCTCCCTGAATCTGCTCTGCAAAATGCAAGCCCCTTGCTGCAAACCCTGGCAGCCACCAGCCTGGGGACCGTGAGCAACTGGTGGGGGACCTATCCAGGCAACAGCTCACCGGGATGCCCTGGAGCTGCGGCTTGTCGAGCAGGTTGTGCAGTTCATTCTTGGAAGCCTCTATCTTCTCCTGGTCGGCAGCATCCACCATGTACCTGCAAGGAAAGGGACACCCCTGAGTGCAGGCGCTGAGGTCCCCACACCCCAGTGCTGTGCTGAGGTCCGTGCCACCACCAAACCTTGCTCACATGGCAGCCACACCACTTCCACTGGCTCCTGGGCCACTGCGTGGAGGCGATGGATAACAAGATCCTTCCCCCAGGACCCCTCTTTCCAAGGAAGGCTGTGGGGCTGAGAGCCCCTCATGTCTCTTGGGGGAGTGGGGAACCTCCCTGTCCCTGTCCCTGCAGGGGTCCACCCCGTTGACAGCAGGGACACGGTGGGCAAGGGAAGCCCAGGTGCTGCCTGGGCAGAAGAAGCTGCAAGACGCACGTTGTCCCCAAAGCTCAAGCAAGGTTCATCTGCACATGGCAGCTCCTTACAGAGACCCAGAATACAGGACAACAAGTGGGGAAGACAAGAGGAGCTGCCGATGGAGAAGAGAAGACATCAACCCGAGATCCTGGCAGGGGGAAGGACCTGCTTGTCCTCTTGATGGGAGCATGGGGCATGGAGCAAAGGGCACGTGAAACCAGCAGTCAGCAATGCTTGCTCTGAGCAGACAGGGGAGATGTAGGGAAGGATTTAGCTCTTACAGGCCGACACCCATCCTGCAAGGGACATAAGTGAAGCCAAAACTGGGGAGAGGAACTGATCAAAGCAGCCTTTATTTTAAAGATCAAGAAGCTGGGAGAGAAGTGAGAAACACCATCAAGCTTCATCAGGTCTTGTGGGGTTTATTAAAAATAGGAAGAGCTTTTAGCTACTGAAGCACTGAACACAGGAAAATGTGTATGGCTGTACTGAGAGGGAAAATCACCACCCAGGCACTGCCACAAGCGTTTGGCACGCCGGACAGGGTGGGAGGGCTGAAGGTAAGAGAGAAGGGACGCAACGCAGCTCAAGGTGAGGAAGGCACACTGAAGCGTGACCTGGATGGCCACAGGTCCTTTTGTTTCCTCTCAACCAGATGGGCCACTTTGGAAAAATTATGAAATTATGGAAGAAGGCAGTAAAAGGGAGTGAAAAAAATGGGATTTTGTCGTTTCCAGCAAAGCTCACTGTTATAAAAAGTCTCAAGGACATGTCCCAACATGGTGAAAATCAGCAAGGACAGGACTAGACACTGCTGTCCCAACAAGCAGGACAGGCGGTCCCTCACTCGTCCTCACCTGCCAGACCTACAGTTGGGAAGGGTGGTACAGAAACCCAGCCCTCCAAAATCCCAGAGCATGGTCAATTGGTGAAGATCACATAAATCTGATTTTCTGACTGGGTTTAGGTAACCCCGATGTGGTCTCTCAGGGTAAATATTTGTCCTTAGGAGCAGGGAGCCTGCTTCCCAGGAGCATCGTGCCAGGCTCAACCCCAGCCTGAACTCCCTGGGACTGCACTTACTGCAACATTTGCAAGCAGGGGACATGCAGGGACACTCAGCAGCAGGTATTGCACAGAGACTCCTCTCAGTACAAGATTCATCCAGCAGCACATAAACACCATGACCTGGAAACATGCTGCTGGTGGCCACCCTTAAAACCAGCCTCTTGGAAAGGGCTGAGCCACACCGATGGCCTTTGCTCAGCCCCTGCAATGAACAGGCAGTGCAGGGAAAGCATGGGAGCCAGGAAGGGCAAGATCTGAGGAACAGAGCCAGGCCGAGTGATGATGGAAGGGAAGGGTCTGCCACAGCTGGTGGGGACTTGGCAGCCCTGTGCTTAAAGCCCGTGGGGGCACCAGTCCGAGGAGGAAGCATCTCAACTCCTGACACAGGTGTCTGGCTCTGGCAGTGAAGGCACTGCAGCTCCCCCGGCTCAGCCCTGCCCAGCACCCTTGGGTGGGGTGATGGGACCGTGCCTCCACCCACTGGAGGGGCTCAGCATTGGTGTGTGGGTGACAGGGCTCTCTGATCCCAGGGATACTCACACGATGGCACTCACTCCACGGCAGTACCGCTCCCACATGCTGCGAAACCGTGGCTGGCCACCGATGTCCCAGAGCTGTGACAGGGAGAAGGTGGCATTATCCCACCATCCTGCCCATTATCCCACCATCCTGCCCATTATCCCAGCATCCTGTCTGTGACTCTTCCCCATGTGGCCGCCCAGCCAGAGCACCAGGCATGCACAAAACCCACATCCATCCCCTCGCCTTTGGCTCAAACCTAACGAGGAGGCTCCTGACTCGATAAAGAAAGGAGACATCTCAGGAAGGGCAGCTGGAGGGTGTTGAACACCTCCTGTGATGTGCCTCTGCTGGCACGGAGGGACTCCCTGGCCCAAGCTGAGGCACTCCTCCCCATGCCCACCTCACCTCCTGGCCTTTCACTGATGCATTTGCCATTTCAAAACACTCAGCACATTCTTGGAAAGATTTCTGCAGCAGGCAGAGATTCCCCAATCAGCTTTTCAAGCCCTTCCCACTGTTATTTCCCAGCCCAACCCAGGGCCCTTGAAAGATCCAGAAGGGGTAGAAAACTCCTCTCCCTTTGCTTTTGAGGCAGAGACCACTACTGCAAGCCATGACCTGGTGCTCCCACCCTCAGCAAGGTGACTACTTCCATAAGTCCCCACCAGCAAGCCAGAGGTATAAGAAAACATCCAGCTTTGCAGCCCAGACTGGGTCTTACTGCAGAGGTCTGGATCTCCTACATCCCTTCCCACCATCTCCTCTGGTGGGTACTGGCAGGAGCCTAACAGGGCAGATCTTCCCAACTGCAGCTGGGGTTGCTGGCATCCTTCAACCTCCAGCAGAAGACCCACCAATCTCCCTTCACTCCATCTTTCATCCCAAGAGCCCCCCCCCCACTAGTGATAACATCTGCACCTTACCTTTATGGTAACATTCCCCTTGGTTATCTTCCTCATGTTAAAGCCCACCGTCGGGATCATGTCTTCGTTGAACTGTCCTGACTGTAAGGAACAAGGTGAAACAGAGTTAGGAGGCATGGAAATCCTGCCTGAGCAGGGCAGCGAGGCTGACAGCCTGCCTAGAAATAACCCCAAATGCTCTGCCAGCCCTGCAGCAGGCACGGCACAACCTTCCTCCTGGTGCACACCAGAAGCAAAATTAGAGCCAAGGAGACAAAATGCCTGCAGGACAGAAATAAAGCTGCTGCTGCTGCTGCTGCTGCTGCATGGGATGCAGGGCGCCCTGGGGGCCCCGGTGAAGCCCCCAGCCCCACAGCGAGCTGCCACCCCCAGCCCCAGACACGCTGCCGCCTTGGTGGGGTGGTGGAGGCTTGCCCAGCCCATCCCTTTCCAGGCAGGATTCCCAAGCCCTTTGCGGGAGAAAGCTGAGCCCTTTGCCCGCTGCAGTGACCTCAGGTCAGCTGTGCCAGGCCCAAACATCTCTTGCAGATCCCACTGGCAGCCCCGCAAGGACGCCCACGGGGTGCAGTCAGGCTTCCTGCCCAGGGGAGCCACCTCCTGCATCGGCTCCTTTTCGGCCACGAGTCCTGGGGTTTCCAGCACGTTTCCTGCTTTGGATCTTTTACGGCCCAGCCCAAACCAGACTGACTTCTGCTTTCCTGCAAGCCTGCTGCCTGCCTGCAGCCTGTCTGCACGGGTCCTCCAGCCCCCGCACCCTGCCCACGCATGAGAGCCAGCTGCTTGCACTGGGTGACATGGGGGGATGCAAAGGATCCCTTCTCCCCTTCCCCAGGAGCTGCTGACATGTTTTCTCCAGTAGCACAGCTCCAAGCTGCGTCAGGCAGGAGAAGCATGAAATCACCATGGATTTGCAGCATCCCAGTGCCGCTGCAAAACTAGGTTTGTCTTGTTGGAGCAGTAAGCAGAAACTGTCCCTCTGCCGCCACGGCGAGATGCCGGCTCACCAGCCCACATGCCTGGCACCGCGCTGGAGGGACAGGATGGCACTAGTCTGTTAAAGCCCACCCCACCTTCCAGTTTGCTGCTCAAATCCCACCACTGCAAGGCAGTCCCAGGCTGAGCAGCACAGGGGGATGTTCCGGGCAACCCCAGCAGTGATGTGGCATCCCTGGGGCAGGAGCTGCCACAACCCTTCACCCTCTGCCTTCAGCAGCCTCCCACCTGGCAGGCAGCCTCACTAGGACTCAAAACAGGTTTATCTTCTTTGCTTTTTAAACGCATCCTTGTGGAAGGCCCTGCTGCGGGATGCCGGGGAAGCAGACAGGGAAGAGGGTTTGATAACCAGGATAACACGGTGCTGGGGCTTTTGGCCATCAGTGCCAGAAACCTGCAGGAACCACCAACCATGGCTGAACTTATCCCAGCAGCTCTTTACTGGCTTAAAATCTCAGTTTCTCTGGGACTTTTCTGGGTTTTCATTCAGTTAACACAAACCTCAAAAAAGGAAGGCAATTTATGCCATTTTCTGATAAGCAGAATTTTGTGTCTGATTGAGCCAATGGCTCCTCCAGACCCACCACGTCAGCGAGTCCCCAGGGTTTTCCTGACCTCTTCCAACGGTTCTGCAATATGTGCCACTTCCCTTTTTCATTTCCCTTTTGCATTCATCAGCAAAGCCCAGCAGCCAAGGGGTCTCCAAGCCACAGTGCACCCAGAAACCATGCCAGGGTCTGGTGGGGAAGGTCATGGGGGAGAAGAAAGGAAGCAGGCTCTTCCCTCTACCACTGGCTGACACGGGAGATGTCTCCTGTGGACTGAGGTTGAACACACAATTTGGCTTTGTGGACCAGGTTTTAAGGAATTGTCGGGCTTTGATCAGAAGATGTGGAAAGCAATTGCTGAAGAGCTCTTGGAAGCCTCAGGCACCTCCATTGGGGATCCCGGACCACACCACGGGAACTGCTGCCTGTGCAAAAGCCACCTCAGACATAGTTCACATGTGATGGTAGTTCTTCCAGGAAGGGAGGAGCTGCAGGAGCCAGGAGTCACCTCTGCTTTCGCCTGCAAGAGATGGGAGGGAGCACATCTCCATGAGCAAAGCACGGCCTTGTTCCCTGCCCCAAATCCTTCCCCCACCACAGTGCCTGCCTCCAGGCTGCCCACGGCCAAGGGCAAAACACAAAACCACACATGCTGCCCAAAAAAGGCTGGGGTGGGAACACAACACATTGTGGTCCAGGATTGCTTGCATGTGGGTCCCTGCTGTCCTGACACCAGCAGAGGTGTCTTCAGTGCACTGCAATGCACTCAGCTCCTCCTGCATCAGCTGCTCTCTGAACGCAAATTTGAACAGCAGAAACATGATGTCCCCTCTTCTCACTCCAATTGCCCTAGATGCTGATGCCTCCAGCACATCTTCAGCTACCTGCAGGGTCCAGCCATCCACAGTTCCACTGCCAAGGAGAGTGGAGACCAGCCCAGCTACAGACATGCAAAAGCTTCACTGGACACATCTTTTCCCCAAATTTTAGTTATGCAATGGACATAGGACCTGCACTGACCCCAGAGATCATGCCTAGCCACACCGATCGCTTGGGAATGGGATTCCTCCAAGAGGCATAAAAATCCTTGCAGGCAAGATGGATTTTGTGGCTACAACAGGTGGATCAGGTCTTTGCAGGCTCTAGTTCATCACTGGTTTTGCCAGGGTCCCCTCAGCACCCTGGCCAAACCACCCTGCCTCGGTGCCCTGGCTGGAAGACAAATGACCTTTCTGCCCAGCCCCACCACTTTCCAGCTGGGTTACTGGGAGAGGTGGCCAGGATCCAGTTTTTGCGGGGGCAAGTGGTGCCTCCAGCTCACTCTGAGACCCATCCTCTGCCACATGCATGTGGATACCACGTCACCTGCAACTTCAGCCATTGTCCCCTGCTTGGCCAGCACCCAGGACCTCAGCTCGCTGGCACATGCAAAGAAACAACCTCAGCCTTCATGCCGCACCCACCAGCTCTGGTGAAATGTGCAGAGCCGACGTGACCAGGCCCTGCTCCTCACCATCAGCCAGGCGGCTGTCACCCTATCTTAGTGCAGGATGTCACCGCTTTGATGCAACCTACTCTCGATAAATGGCTGCTGGCTGTTTTGCAGCCCCATATCCCCAGGTGCTCTCAAACAAGCCATTTCCTGGGGACCGGAGATGGCAGTGCTGAAAGCCCAGCCCCTGGTCATATAAAGTCATGCCTCCACCAGAACATGGTCCTCCACAGGGCAGAGGCAGGTGGCCAACATACCCCGGGTTGGATGGCTCCCACCTGCGCTTACACCATCCCCAAAACCATCCAGCCTCACGCTCCTGCAGGCATCTCCTGCCACGTGGCACAGCACCGAATCCCTGCTGAACCCTGTCCAACTCCAATCTGGAGAGAAACGCAGGGGGTTTAATTTCTCACCTGCAACCTCCCGGTCCAGCCTCCCCAGCTGGCTTTGTGCACAGTGCAGGGTGGGAGTGCCTGGCAGCCGGGAGCTTGACTTGCAAAGCCACTGCTCTTCCAGGAGCTCTTCTCTGAAACAGTTAAAAAAGACCAACCCTGCTGCACAGGCTCACTCCAGCCCCCCAGCATGTCTTGCATCTCCAAGCCAAGCCATGACAGCCCCAGAGATGAACGCTTGACTCCGACTACACTATTCAGACAGGAAAAAGCCAAACTCAAGCCAAGCCTTTAAAACATTTCCCTTCGACAGCAGGTCTTACAGCTCTTTCAGCCTCTGAGCATCACAGGACACCTATGGCATGGACCTCTGTGTCCCCCTGCAGAAGGCACTGGAGGGGACAGGGCTGTCCCCGAGTGCAGCACAGCCCTCCCAGGGAACCCAGAGACCTGGGAAGGGGGCCTGCCACCTGGAGCCAGGTGGGATGGAGTTACCCCAGGGCTGGCAGCAAGGAGAAGAGCCACACGGGTCCGAGAATGAGACAATCTTGACTTTTGCCCCAAATTCTCAGCAGGCTTTGTTTTCAAAACCTCTGTGCAGAGGGATTGCACTGAAGGGACCCATGTCAGCCAGACCCCACTGTAGCAGGCAGGCCAGCAGCCCAAGTTGGGCAAGCACGGTGCTCCGGGACAGAGATGGGCACCTCAGTCCCCCTCCACCCCAAAGCAGATGGTCTCACCACCAACTCCTGCAATTAACATACACGGTCAGGCTCTGCAGCACCCCTCAGCTTGGAAATTCAAAATTGCAGGCTTTCAGCGTGGTGGAAAACCCACAGACCCCTCCTGGCCCTGTTCCCGGTGATGCTACCAGAGCTGAAGCAGGCTGTGCTGGCCTCCCTGACCCCATGGGCCCTATCTCCAGGGCACTCTCTATCTTGAGAGCAAAAATGGGATCAGGGGACAAGCCTGCAGACGGCAGCCAGGCCATACACCAGCTGACCCTGAAGCCCAGGTGATGCCGGCATGACTGACACTGCCAGTAAGCCCACAGGAGCCAGGCAAGATGATGCTCTCCAGGACAGATTCATCCCACTCCCTGCAATGCAGCTAATGGCAAAAGCCTCTGGATCCAAGCAAGGCACCAAGAAGGTCCCTCCTGCAAGCTCGGGGAACAACATGAGACAGGACCAAAGCAGAGCTGCTCTGCATGGCACATCCCAAGCCAACCCTGCAATGCGGGGGCAACAGGCAATGCCTTCGGAGGACTCCAGATCCTTTGGGACAAGGCAAAGGTCGCAGCTTAGCAGCTCTGCCCTTAGCATTGCCCTCTCAAAGGAAACAGAAGCAGCCTGTCTGCTATTCAGTGCATGTCTCCAAACATGATGGACCCATGCGGGCTACATGGTACCTGCACCCTTGGTTCTGGCTACCCAGCCTGATGGATGGCCCCAGCAATGGAACCTTGAAGACATGGGTGTTTAATCCATTCCCAACCTGTAACATCTCCATGCCCCTGCTCTGTCACTGCCAGCATCCATCTACCTCCTCCCCACTGTCCAACCCAGCTCACACAAAGTCAGCGCTGGAGCAGCTTGGCCCAACTCTTGTTTCTGAGGTTGCACAGTCTCCCCTGGACTTCTGCTGAACTAC